CTTCAGCAAACATAAAACAAATAGTAAGTATTAATTAAATTATGATATACAAGTCATTCTCGTTATAGTGAAGTGATTGAGCTAGAAAAAAAAAAACTTCACTATAGCTTATATTAAGAGAATACTATATAAACTTTATCATATCGAGTAAAGAATTAATAATAATAGCAAAGAATTTAAAATAAATTCTTCACTATATCAAGATCTTCATTATATCGAGAGTTTACTATAACGAGAGTGACTTGTATACTGTAATAATAACAATAATAATAATAATAATAATAATTATAACATATATTTAGCTACGATTACAAGAATTTTTCGACCACTATTGTACTGTAAGGTATTACTTTTTTTTGATTAAAAAATGTGACAAAATATCTTGCACCATTTGTCATCCTCCTCGTTGTTTGTCAGAAGATTTTGAGAAACTGCATTGTCTCCCAGATCTAGTACCTGGAGATGACTTGCATTACATATCATTTGAAGAGCTATATGGCATGCGAACAACAGAAAACCATAAGCCTTCATTTATAACATCTGAACCAAAAAAAAAAACAAAAAAAGTGAAAACAAAACATACTATACTATTTAATCCCTTTGCAGCATGTGCTAAAAATGTTGGTATCACTGTAAGTTGTATTGAATGTGAGAAACTACGCCTTCTATTTAGTGCGAAGAAGATTTCAGAAAAAGATAAGTCATTGTTGCAAAGATTTTTAGATACGATCTTCTATACTTATAGTACGACATTTTATAACACATGTGACTTGGCGATGACTGTATTACCAAATCAAGATAACAATACAAAGATGATTTTAGTTCTAATAAAGGTGATAATGAAGAAAATATTAATAAAGAAGTTAATGAGAAAGAAAATGATTCAACTGAATCTGAAAGCTCAGACGATGAAGAGCCTGATGAAATTGCTGAGGAGTCTGATGAAAATATAGAAGAGCCTGATACTGTTGCAAAGGATTCTATTTATGAACTTTTTTTAAAAGTTTTTGTTAATAATTCATTGACTTGCACAACAGAAATTGAAAAGCTATACTATTCTGCTAGAATTTATCCAGACGTTTGTATTCACTGTGGGTACTTGGATGTTTCTAACTCAGCAAATGAGTATCCATGTTGTAATGATTGTGAGAGTAACCTTGCTAATTCAAAAAAATCTTCAAGACAGTCTAAAGATATTAAAAACAAACGAAAGCATATTAAAACTAAAAACTAGCTTTGATTTTATTTATAAATCAGTTAAATATATCTATTAATATAGTTAAATCCAATCCTGAATAATCAAATGCCTAATAAGTTCTATTACAATTAGTCAGGAATTAGAAATATTAAACTTTTATCTAATTAATTTTTTTTTCTATTTATTCGAATTTTATATTATTTCATCAGTTTTTATTATAAAATGTATTTATTTATCAAAAAAATATTAAAGATAAAATATTTATAAATTTTATTATAAAGTTCAGATAAGCATATAGGAACAGACTATCTGAAATAGATAGTGTTGACTGTTTTTTAAATCTACAGTATAGTGTTTAGTATATTTTCACAATATATATTTAATTTATTCTTTTATAATAAATCTTCTAAATGCTATCGTATTAAAGTTCATGTTTATGTACAATCAGAGTTGGCTAAATCAGAGTTAATTCAATATATGATCTACATGTTGCATAAGTTGTATTCTTGATATCTTTATATAAACAATAGCGTAAATACATCAAAAAAGTAACTCTCATCCTAACTAAATCTCACTCCGTTTAAAATTGATAAATCCTATTAGTTAATTATATTAAAAAAAAAAATTTTCAGATCTTGCTTCACTGACCTAGCTGAGATATGAAAATCAATTATATTAATTTGTATCACCTTATTAATTATAAAAAATTTATATTTGTATATATCATAAAATTTACTTAGATGACTTCAAATTTACTTAGATTACACAAAATAATCTATTCTGATTAGTTATTTTTGTAATTTTATATAATAAATTTTATAGTAAAAAATTAAAACAAATATTTAAATTTCTATATCTTGCCGAATTTTAACTCAATTTTAATAATCTACTTTATAACTTTATTTAAAATACCAAAAAAGATTTAATTAGTAAAAATTTTTTGTAATTTAAATTACAAAAAAATATATCATGTAGGTTATATGAAAATTGATTTATTTTATTTTTTTTTTTTTTTTTTTTTTTATAGAGGGAGGCTTTGTCTCAGTTTTTATTTATAACAACTGTAGAGTCATATACATTATAGTTATTACAGACTGTTTTCTAAAACTAAAAGCTAGAGCTACTTTACCTTTAGCCTGGGCTCTGCTAAAGAAGGTCAGAGACCTCACCTAGTCTATGAAATTAAAGATAGACTTTGGAGAGCTATTAAGGATTTGAAATTTATCTAACTATTGTTTAATTCTATTTATTATTTTATTTAATTTTTCTTCAGATAGACCTTTAATTGATTCTTGTAATATGTTCGAGTATTGGTTAGCTATATATTGAAAGAGCTAGTCTTTATTATTTCAGTTATTTATTTCTACACATCTAGGTAGCCAAATTTTTTTGTAAATATTTTTAATAATTTTGTGGATTAAGATTTTAGATACTTTGTTTTTTGAATTCTTTTTTGTATTTGTATCTATAAAATCAATGATATGTTTAGTTATATATCCTTGACAAAGATATATTTAATATGTTGAGCTTGGATTAATATTAGTGAGCAGTATATTCTTAGTTTCATTTTGAATATTTATATCATTGTATTTATATTTGTTGAGAGTTTTTGTAACTTGTTCTTCTATGACTTAGTGAATACTAGTTTTGTTTGCAGGACATTCCTACTAGTATGAGTTATTTTCTTTTGAGATATAGTATCGTTTGTATATATCATTATCATATTTAGTTGGATATCTTTTATGCAGATTCTCTATAGTTAATAGCTCATTAGTTAACAATTTAAGTTTGAAAGCCTTAATTCTAGACTGAGTTAGATGAGTAAATCGAGTATTTGATGTATAATTAAAGTTTATTATCGCTAACATTGTAGACTAGTTGAGTTCTGAGTGAAAGTTGTTGATCTTATTAAATCTTCATTAAGAACATAGATCTGCAATATATACTGTATTGCATAAATGTCTAACAAAATATCTAGATTTGTGAATGATTGCAGAGTTATTCTACAAAATACATATTGTATTATGTCTTAGTGTAATATTAGAAGAATTAACTAGAATTGTTGTAAACTTTTTGCTGTATTTTGTTATCTCTTTATGTGTTAAGATTAAGTTGATATCTTTCTGTGCTTTAATCGCAAGGATAAGGATCCATAAGTTTCTACATTTATTGTTAATTAATGTAGATTTGTTGAAGACAAGTGATTAAATTTGAAGATAGTTTTTAATTAAGGAGTTGTTATTAGTATATATTTCAATAGTGTAATTGTTTTTAGTAACTAGTAGTGATGAGAAAATTGCTATAAGAAGGCTATAGTTTTTTGACAGCTAAGATCTAGTTTTTAAGTAGTAGTTTTCTTGAGTATTTTTTATCGACCAAGTAGTATATGAAGTTTCTGCTTGATATACCTTATTTGTTGAGTAATTGATTTTTATTTGTAATTAACTGAAGTATTTGGTTTTTGTATTTATATTTAAGAGCATTATTTCAGAGTGTGTGTTGCAAGCAAATTGTTTCATTATTTAAGTATTATTATATTTTGCTGATTTTGGTTCAC